ATGAATTCTATGTGCAGTATTCCCCTAGCGCTGGAGTTCTCCCATTCTCCTTGACGGGTAAACTTGGTCTTGGCTTGCTGGCTGTCCGTGCTGATCTTCTGGGGGAGGGGCCTGTTGCCGTGGTTCCCAAATGTCTTTGCTGGAGGCAGAATTGCCCCGCCGTTGTCGGTCCGGGCTAAACAAGCTGCTCGGGTTTGCTCTCAGGAGCTTTTGTTCCCTGCAAGCTCTCGGTACAGCTTTGGAGGACCAGGGTGAAAATGGTGGCCTCCCACTCTCTGCCCGGAGGAGCTGAGAACTCGGGGCCCCACGCCTCAGAGCGCCCCCAGAGAAAAGCAGTCAATCACTCCCATCTCCCTGGTCTCCAGCCACACTCCATGCTCACCCGGCCTGTGACCGAGCATTTCTATCTCTGGCACCCGACCCCGTGTGGAGTCTCCAAACCCAGCAGATCCCTGCAATGCGCTCCCGCGCCACTCCTCCTGGGGGAGGAAGGGGAGTCTCCCTGGCTCTGCTGCTTGTTGGGTCCCTGCTGGAAGCACAGTGGCCCGACTGGGCCACGGATCACAGTTTATGGCAACCCTGAGCTGAGAGCCGGCGCCTTGGCTCCGTCTCTGCAGCCAGCTTCCCCGCTCTGATACCTGGGAGCTCTGCTGCACTCAGGCACCCCCGGTCTTTCTGTGACCCTGAGGGTCCTGAGTCCACACTGTCCCGCGAGGTTTCCACCTCCCGCTTAGCCACTGGAGTGACGTCCCTCAGCAGAACCAACTTCCAAAATTTCCAATTTTGTGCTCCGCGGCTCTAGCACTTGCCAGAGCGGCCGACGGAGGCCCCCTCCCCCGCCATCTATCTTCCCGAATATCGCCTCGGATTCACTTCTCCGCACGTCCTACCTTCCCGTAAGTGGTCGCTTCTCTCTTCAGAGAGTTGTTGCTTCTCTCTTCTTCGATCTCCTGTTGAGTTTGTAGGTGTTCAGAATGGTTTGATCTCCTATTCAGCTTAATTCCTGAGACCAGACGAAATCCAGGTCTCCTACTCCTCCGCCATCTTGCTCCGCCGGTGAGAGAGAATCTTAAGCAAGCTCCATGCTCAGTCAGGATCCTGTACCCATGACCCTGAGATCATGACCAGAGCTGAAATCAAGAGTCAGACAGTCAGCCAACAGAGCCACCCAGGCACCCCTGACTGGTGTCCTTATAAGAGACAAAACAAATTGAAGACAGATATGCATGGGAGAATGTCGTGTGAAGACAGAAGCAGAGATTGGAGTAATGCAGCTACAAGCCAGAGCAGGTCTGGGTCACTAAATCAGGAAGATGCAAAGAAGGATTCCTCTATAGTTTTTACAGAGAATGGTCCTGCCACAACTTCATTATGGATTTCTATCTTGTGGAACTGTTAAAATAAATTTCTGTTGTACTAACTCACCCAATTTGTGGTACACCGTTACGGCAATTCAAAGGAATGAACACAAATAACAGAGATAATGACAAAAAACAAAGAGTGAGGGAGGAGAAAACCAGAATAGCATGGTGTCTCCAAAGACATGTGAAAGTAACATTTGAAGGAACAAGGAAAGAGACTGTTTTTTCTTTTTCCACTGTGATGGTTAATTTAGGACATCCCCTTGGCTGGTCTAAGAGATGCCCAGTTACCGGGTGAAACATTATTCCTGGGTGTGCCTCTCAGGTGTTTTAGAGGAGATAAGCATTTGATTCAGTGGCCTAGTAAAGGAAATCACCTTTACCAGTAGGGGTAGTCATTATATAACCTTGCCCAGATTACTGCATCAGGGACCTAACTTGTCTCTCTGCCTCTGTACACTTCCTGCAAGAGTAGTCATTCAAAAAAAGATAAATCAGATTTTGCCACTTGCATGCTAAACACCTACATGTTGATCCCTAGAAGAAAAGGCAAATGGCTTACTGTGACCTATTGCATCTCTTGTGATCAAGTCCCTGCCAACCCCTACTAATTCATCCATTCTTACTCCATTATAAAGTAACCAAATTAGACCCACAGCAGAGTCACTCATTCTAAATCCCAAGTCAGAAAATCAAAACTTAATTAAGTTTCTTTGCTGAGCCCCCTTCCATTAAAAGATGGCTTAGGTCATTGTATCAGTGCTTGCCTGCTCAGCATAACTTACCTGACCCAGATCTCCCTTTGCTCCATATACAGAAAGTAACTTTGCTTTAACCAATCACCAACTGTGCAGCATAACTTCCTTGTTCCTGCTCACTGTGTTCTATAAAAATACATTGCCTTTTACAGTTTTTCTAAGCTCCTATTTGGTAGAATTCTTGTTGCCTGATTCATGAATCTCTGAATAGAGCAAATAACATTTAAAAAATTTAACTCGGTTGAATTTTGTTCTTTGACACCATTTAATATAATAACCTCAGAAATACTGGCTGCCTTCCAATTTTTCAAATATACAACAGTTGTTCTTGATTGTGGGACTCTGTTCCTGTTTTGTTCTTGCTGGCTGTTCTGTGTAGAATGCCTTTCTGCATGAACATTGAGTGGCAGCCTCCTTCTTGTTCATTATATCTTAGTTTAAATGTCACCAGCATAGTGAGGTCATCCTTGACCATTGGATCTTAAGTAGTCACCTATTCACTCCTTTTCAACCAAAATGACTTTAATTCTTTGCACATTACCATGTGCTATTTTTCTCACTTATGATTTTTTTTATTTTATTGTTTATCATCTATCTTCCTGATTAGGATGTAATTCTTAAGAGCAGAAATTTGCCTAGCTGCCATTATGTCCCACTTCTTAAAATAATATCTATATATGTGCAGAATTTTCATAGATATTTGTTGACTTAAATAATGCCTTGATTTTACTTATTTCTGTTTCAAGATTGTGACTAAATGGTCACAGTCTGAGAAATGCTTCGGGCTCTCTTTAATGTAATTTGCAGTGAAAGATCCCTTAGCTTCCATCCTATATGGGACATCTAGCCTAAAAGCAAATTTGTGACATAGGATGTATATAAGGCTTTGATAGTGGCTAAGAGTTAATAGAGATGAAGAAATACTTTCCCCTGAAAATCTCCCAGATCATAAAATATACCAGTGGTCAGGATTGGGGTTACAAAAAAGTGACTGGAAAATACCCACATCTGACAAGGCCAATAAATGTTTTGCCTGCCATCTGGTGATCTTAAAGTTTCAACCTTTCCTAATAGTACTGCCAAGTGATTAAAATCATTGTAGACATCCTTCTACAGTTCATATGTCTCAATTCAAGTTTGGAAAATTCTAAATTCATGTCAAACTTCCAGTGTTCCTCCCAAGATTTTTTGCAGTTCTAAGATCCAAAGTATAATTATTTTATAGAAACAATAGAGGCTCTTACTCTTCCCATTCATGAGTAGTATCCATTCATGAAATTGAGTTAGTCTATAACAAGCTAAAGGAAAATATTGATTCTATTTATTCAAAATAATGCAATTCTTGCCTGCCTTTTAATGCATGTGGGGCTTGTAATTTAATTTATATTTAGCTTTTAAATAATTTTCTTTTAAACTTGGAAGTACTAGGTTTGAATACTGAAAACTTTCAATGTATCAACAAACCAGGAAAAGAGTAGAAGTGTGGGAACTCTAACTTATTTTCTTCTCCCCAGTTACCTTACATCACTGAATATGCTTACTAGATCCTGCAACATCACAGAAGTGTCATCATTTCTTTGTGGTGGCCATGTAATCAGTAAATGCTACTTAGTGGGAGAACAGACACATTGTGTTGTTAATTGACGTTTAGAGACTCCGGGGAGAATAAAGGATTTTGGGGAAATTTTGAGACTACAAAGAAAAGAACAAGGAGATGACCCTAAAAGTTGTAGGTCTTGGGTGAAAGAAGAGGTCTTGGGTGACTTACTGAAGAGACTTCGTTGTGCAAAGTAATTATGTAAAAGCCTAGAATTTTAAATGGTTGCTATTTGGAGTTTACTATTTCTGAGGTGTTTACATTTCTAATTTTTTCAGGGAATGTTTTTTTTTTTCTTTTGTCATTCAGAGTTCAACTTGAGAAAGAAGCTCACTATGCTTACTATACACATTACTATTACTTTCTCTGTATTTTGAGCCCCGTTCAAATTAGTCTTCACCCACAGTCTCCTGTTATCTCCATGCTCCTACAGTAAGAAGCAGCTGTGTACACCCTCACCCTTCCAAATGCTTCCTGTTCTTATTTTCTTATTTCTCCAATGTCCCCTTGGTGTTGCTGTCCATAGGCACACCTTCCCAACCAATTCCTATGTTGTATCTAGCTCCAGGGATTGGGGGAACAGTGGGACCTCTGTGGTCTCTAAATTGACTCTGCTGTGTTGGGCATTTCCCTCCCCTTCTCCTTGAGACACCATCTACTTTTATCATCCCTGCTCCTTCCCAAGCTAGTTTTCTTTGTGGAATATATGAAGGTTTTGGGCAACCTGTTGTTGCACCACTGTTTGAGGAAGGAGCATGAAGCATTCAGGATTCTTGGTGCCTGAAACTTAGCAGATTTTTCCTAGCAGATTTTTTTTAGAGCTGGAAGCCGCGCAGCAGTTGTCAGGAGAGTTCTCTCCCAAACATTCCCTTCAGGAGTGAGAGTAAAAACAGGTGAAGGGACTCAGCGGGGGGAAAAGGGCACGGAGGGTATTGCGGTGGCACGAGAGAGGCTTATAAATTGCCTCCTCGTTCAGTCTGCGCTACTCCAGATGCTGGAAAGGGCTAGGTTAGCGTAGAGGTGCAGGCACAGTACCCGTCGCCTAGCCCGGCTCCTCAGAGCAGGGAACAACAGCCACGCCACTCCCGCATTAGTGACGCTTACTCCACCCCAGTCATGCCCGTGCTGCCACCGTAGAGTTTCACACTCCATTAAGATTTTCAGATGAGAATGCGGGATCCCTGCTTAGGGATGAACAACGCCTCTCTGCCAAACGAAAGTGGCAGCCCGTCTCCAGGTGCCGGCTTCTCGGAACTGGTGGTGTGACCCGCCATTACTGCAACCATGGCTAGAGCCGGGTGTACAAGAGGCCCGGGCGATGAGGTTGCGGTTACTGGTTGCTGGCAGTTGCTGGCCGGAGAAAAGGAACGTCAGCTCTGGGTGCCCGGCCGCCTGTATGAACGTCTTCAGCTTTCTACAGACTGCAAAGCTCTTGACGTAGAGGCTTCACGGATTCATTTACACCCAGGGGCCCGCAGCCAGCAACTTGGTGCTTTATTTTGCGGAGGCTCAAGAAGAAGCAAAAGCTGGAGAGAGCCGCGGGGCTTTAACAAAGGCCTGAAACGAGGGGCGCCTGAGTGGCTCAGTCGTTAGGCGTCTGCCTTCGGCTCAGGTCATGATCCCAGGCTCCTGGGATCGAGCCCCACATCGATCTCCCTGCCCTGCGGGAGGCCTGCTTCCCCCACTCCCACTCCCCCTGTTTGGCTCTCTTGCTCACACTCTGTCTCTCAAATAAATAAATAAAATCTTAAACAAACCCAGAAAGGACTGAAAGGAGGTGGCCAGGGGCTGCTGCATTCAACTTATCTCCCACTGCCTGGTGGGGCTTGTGTATCCTTGGCTGTAGACCACACACACACACACAAGCACACACACACAGGCACACACCAATATTCATGACAGTTTGTTTTCCCTTAGGAAAAGCCCCACTGGTGCTTGGGGTCACATGTATAACTCAAAAGGGTCAAGAGAAGGTGGTTGTAATTGCTACTGCTAGGGAAAGCCAGAAGTGCTTAGAGTTTGGGTTCCTGCTTCCCCAGCAGCAGTGACCAAAAGTGGCCCCCTGGCCCCCACCCCCTATATTAGACCTCCACACCCTGAAAACTCAGCTTGTCGGTTGACCTGGGAAGTTGTCCCGTGTTCCCAGTCGTGACCTAGATGCCGAAGACAGGGAGCCCAGAGAGAAAGACCTTTAGCCTTTCTTTGGGTAACTATGTAGTCCCCAAGCCGTGAAAGATTTAGAATTTTGCTTCCAAGTGGCCATGTTGTGGAAACAGAAAAAAATCATCAATTCAGGCAGATTTCTCTGGCAGTGCTGACAGAGGAGGCATATTTCCACTTTGTGGCTGCCTAAGTAGTACCTGGTCAGAGCATTCACCTTAGGTTTTCTGCCCTGCTTATACTTCCAAAGTCTTCATGGAACCCAGGAAGTAGGTCTGTGCTTCTAGCAGTGTGGCATTAACTGGGAAGTGCCTGCTACGAGAAGTCTTAGAAGACCATGCTCCACCTTCTTGGCCCACATCTTTGCAGGAGATGCCTCTGCCCCTTGAGCTAGCGGTTACCAGCAGCCTTACTAAGAGTTTTCCAGGATGTTTAGACTTCCTTGCAATGACAACAGAATAATTCTGGGATTCCCTTATTCCTTAGTGTCAGGGTGGGATGTGTTGATTGCACCAGACAAGGATGAGCCTTCAATTGGCTACATTTGGACCATTTCAGAAACATTCAGTTTGCATGTTGTCTTTCAGATGTGCCTTCCAATAACTTTATTTGTTCTTTATCTGTTCTTCTTGCCCATTTCCACCTTTCCTCTCTACTCACATCAGTCAGTGTTAATGTCATGGCAGTTTTTTCAGGGGAAAGACCCCAGTGTAACTTAGCTGGGGTAGACATGAGATTATACAGCTGATGAGTAAATATGTCTGCTCCTCCATAACTCAGTATTATCTTATCATCATTTAAAAATGCTGCCTGCCAAGTATTGAAATAGCTGAAAACGTGTGACCTTTTTTGAGATATAGATGATTGATAGATGATAGATAGATGATATAGATAGATGATAGATAGATAACAGATAGATAGATATAGATATAAAACATCTTTTTGAGTTTTGACCTTGATTACATCCATTATAGGTGGCACAATGTGTCTTGGTTCCATCTAGGAAGTTTTTTCTTCTTCTAATATTCTAGTTATTAAATTGCTTGGTAGTTTACACGCAATTTTACTTCATTGTTTCCTTGGTAACATTATATATCATTTCCCCTCTTTGTAGCTGGGAGCATTGCAGATGATTGCCTTGGTGTTACTGCTCTTGCACTGACTATTTCATTTGTAAACAAGAGATGAACCATGAGAGATGATGGACTCTGAAAAACAAACTGAGGGTTCTAGAGGGGAGGGGGGTGGGGGGATGGGTTAGCCTGGTGATGGGTATTAAAGAGGGCACTGAATCATGGAACACTGCATCAAAAACTAATGATATAATGTATGGTGATTAACATAACATAATAAAAAAAACAATATATCATTCTCATAGAAAAACATGGTGCAGTGGAAAAAAATATGATTATATCCGTTTTGCCCCAGGGAGGTGGTTTAAAACTCAAAGCACACAGGAATGTTATTAAACTGAGGGATGCTTTTTTTTTTTCTTTTTTTAAAGTTTAAAATCAGTTAATTAACATATGGTGTATTAGTTTCAAAGGTAGAGCTCATTGATTCATTAGTTGTATATAACACTGAGTGTTCATTACATCAAGTGTCCTCTTTAATGTCCATCACCCAGTTACCCCATCCCCCACCCACCTTCCCTCCAGCAATCTTCACTTTCTTTCCTACACTTGAGAATCTCCCTCTCTGATTTCATCTTATTTATTTTTCCTTTCCTTGCCCTGTGTTTGTCTTTTTTGTTTCTTAACTACTACGAAATCATATGGTATATGTCTTTATCTGACTGATGTATTTCACTTAGCACAATACCCTCTAGTTCTGTCCATGTCATTGCAAATGGCAAGATTTCATTCTTTTTTTGATGGCTGAGTAATATTCCCTTGAATGTATATACAACATCTACTTTATCCATTCATCTGTCGATGGACATCTGAGCTCTTTCCACAATTTAGCTATTGTGGACATTGCTGCTATAAAAATTGGGTGCATGTGCTCCTTTGAATCACTATGTTTGCATCCTTTGGATAAATACCCAGTAGTGCAATTGCTGGGTCATACAGTAGTTCTATTTTTAACTTTTTGAGGAAATTCCATATTGTTTTCCAGAGTGGCTGCACCAGATTGCATTCCCACCAACAGTGTAGGAGTGTTCCCCTTTCTCTGCATCCTCACCAACATCTGTTGTTTCCTATTCCTTTTAGCTATTCTGACAGGGGTAAGATGGTATCTCATAGGGTTTTGGATTTGTATTTCCTGATGCCCAGTGATTTGGAACATTTTTCATGTGTTGACCATTTGCATGTCTTCTCTGGAGAAATACTTGTTCATGTCTTCTGCCCAGTTCATAACTTAGATGATCTCAGTGATATGATTTTTTGGGTGTTGAGTTTGATAAGTTCTTTTTTTTAAAGGTTTATTTATTTATTTGAGAGAGAGAGACAGAGAGACAGGGACACAGACAGAGTGTGGGATGAGTGTGGGATGAGAGAGAATCCCAAGCTGACCCTGCACTGAGCATGCAGCCCGATGGAGGGTTCAATCTCATAACCCTGAGATCATGGCCTAAGCCAAAATTAAGAGTCTGACACCAAAGAAATGCTGGCCTCATAGAATGAATTTGTAAATTTTTCTTCCATTTCTATTTTTTGGAACAGTTTCAGAATAGGTATTAACTCTTCTTTAAATGTTTGTTAGAATTCCCACGGGAAGCCATCTGGCCCTGGACTCATTTGTTGGGAGATTTGTTATTATGGTTTCAATTTCTTTGCTCGTGATGGGTCTGTTCACGTTTTCTATTTCTATCTGTTTCAGTTTTGGTAGTTTATAGGTTTCTAAGAATGAATCCTTTTCTTCCCAATTGCCTAATTTGTTGGCATATAATTGCTCATAATATTCTCTTATAATTGTTTGTAATTCTGTGGTATTGGTTGTGATCACTCCTCTTTCATTCATGATTTTATTTATTTGGGTCCCTTCTGTTTTCTTCTTGATAAGCCTGTCTAGGGGTTTATCAAGTTTATTAATTCTTTCAAAGAACTAGCTCCTAGTTTCATTGATCTGTCTACATAGAATATCAGGTCATCTGCAGATAGTGAAAATTTGATGTCTACCTTGTTGATTTGGATGTTTTTATTTCTTTTTGTTGTTTGATTGCTGAGACTAGGACTTCCTGTACTATGTTAAATCCTAATGGTGAGAGTGGACATCCCTGTTGTGTTCCTGACTCCTGACAAGCTCTGTTTTTTCCCATTGAGAATGATATTAGCTGTGGGTCTTTTATATATGGCCCTTTATGATGTTGAGCTATGTTCTCTCTATCCCTACATTATTGAGAATTTCTATCAGGAAAAGATGATGTATTTTGTCAAGTGCCTTTTCTGTAACTATTGAGAGGATCATATGGTTCTTATCCTTTCTTTTATTAATGTGATGAATCACAGTGATGATTTGCAAATATTGAACCACCCTTGCAACTCAGGAATAGCTCTCACTTAATTGTGATGAATAATTCTTTTAATGTACTGTTGAATTAGATTTGCTAGTATTTTATTTAGAATTTTTGCACCCATGTTCATCTGTAATGGATATTGGTCTGTAATTCTCCTTCCCTGGGGTCTTTGTCTGGTTTTGGGATCAAGGTAATGCTGGCTTTGTAGAGTGAGTTTGGGTTTTCTTTCATTTCTATTTTTTGGAACAGCTTTAGAAGAATAGGTAGTAACTCTTCTTTAAATGTCTGGTAGAATTCCCCTGGGAAGCCATCTGGCCCTGGACTTTTGTTTGATGGAAGACTTTTGATTACTAATTTAATTTATTTCCTGATTATGGATCTGCTCAAGATTTCTCTTTCTTCCTGTTTCAGTTTTGGTAGTTTATATGTTTCTAGGAATTCATCCATTTCTTCCAGATTGCCTGTTTTGTTGGCATATAATTTTTCTCTTATACTTTTTAAAAAATTTTTTCAGTGTTCGTTGTGATCTCTCCTTTTTTCACTTGTGATTTTATCTATTTGGGTCCTTTCTCCTTTGTTTTTGATAAGTCTGATTAGGGGCTTATCAATTTTATTTATTCTTTTGGAGAACCAGCTCTTAGTTTCATTAATCTCTTCTGGTTTTTGTTTGTTTTTATATCATTGAGTTCTGCTTTAATCTTTATTTCTCTTCTGCTGGGTTTAGGCTTTATTTGCTATTCCTTTCTAGCTCCTTTAGGTGTAAGGTTAGGATGTGTATTTGAGACTTTTCTTGCTTCTTGAAGAAGGCTTGCATTGCTTTATAATTCCCTCTTAGGCCCACCTTTGCTGCATCCCAAAGGTTTTGGGCT